AGGCTGTTGGGGGATCTTTTAAAAGTGTGCTGTTTTTAGTATAACAATAAAGAAATAAGCAACTTTTTTCTGAGGTTTGTATTCCAAATTTCACAACTAGGCTGAAATTCTCATGGTCCTTTCTCCATATGCAGAGAGTCCTTGAGTGTATATGACTGTTTGATGAGGACTAGTGAACTAGAAATCAAGATCTTTGTAATCTCTTAATTCTATCATTTAAAATGATGCCAATTTGATAGAATGGCATTCTCATTTGCTTCATTTTCTTCATTTGCAAAATTACTTTATGATAGTGGAAGGAAGCTGCATTTGAAGGATGTTTATTATGTGCTTTGAGATCGTTAAAGCTGATATCACTTTGCATACCAAGTGGCAGTGTTCATATTCTTAATATACTAAAGTTCCGATACAATCAACCTTTAACAAATAACATATCATGACCAACAGTTTATGCATAATTCCATGATGTAAATGTGTCTTCAGTAATTACTCCATCCTCTGAAATCTTGACGTGAGTCTTGTCTGTGCCACTCACATTGGGATTTTTATATAGGCCATTTTCTGTTGTTGTTTATCTTTTGTTATTTATACATATGTCCTATTTATCCAAACAGATTGTGAGCTCTTGAGGGTGGGGGCTGTGTATCTGTAGCTTCTAGCAATATGCCTTACATTTTGTGGATGTTAATTAGTTCTCCTTGATAGTTTGGACAATGTTTGGTCAGAAACACATCCTCACAGTCTCCTAAACAATAATTATTTGTGGGATTGATTCTACAATAGGAAGAATGCTACTATGAAAGAGGGGAACACATATTGCTCATTATCTCTTGCATCTCTGATAGTGTCTCAATATGCATTTGAGGCCAACTGGAACAGAATATCCGACAATATTTAACCACCAAATATGTTTTACTGATATCTATATATAGTATACAATTGTCTGTTGATCATTATTGAATTTATTTGATTATTATTTATAAAATATTGCAAATAACTAAATTAAAATGTCTACAATGTTAACATTATGAACCTATAAATAGGTTTAATTTGCTTTTTAATTTTTTATTTTTCCAATTCTAAACAATAAATTCAATTATTCTTATAGTCAGAAAAAAAATGTGAAATTCTAGAAAAGATTTTTTCTATTCTGCTAAATCAAAGTATTAAAATTTTAATAGCATAAATACCATTTTACATATTACTTTCTTATTTAAATTAAAATCTAACATGGCTGGGTGGCTCACTTGGTTGGAGGGTCATGGGTTCGATTCCCAGTCAGGGCACATACCTAGGTTGCGGGTTCAGTCCCCAATCTGGGAGTGTACAGGAGACAACTGATCAATGTCTCGGATAGATGTTTCTCTCTCTCTCCCCCTCTCTCTTCCTCTGTCACTAAAATAAATATAAGAGTATCCTCAGGTGAGGAAAAGAAAATCTAACATAGGAAAGACTAGTTGCCAGCACCATATTGGCAAGGTTGACAGTTAATTGACAATATTCAATAAACATAAATGTTACTTGTTAAAACTCCTTTAAGGCATTTTCAATTAATACAATAATATTACATTTGTTAATGAAAGCCTAAAAACCTGTTTTTTTCTCCTGTCTTCTCAGTGCAGTTTGGAGGTGGGTTACCCCTCCTCCATTTTCTGAGGAACCAAGCCAGGACACAGACCGAGGTTCTTAGCACAAGGGAAAACTATTATTGAATTAATACCAAAAAGACTTAAGGAATGTGTTTGTTAGACATTTGTCCAGTGGATATGCTTGTATAATTTCCTAAACATACATTTGTTATGAGCAAGAATTCAGATGGATCATTCTTTTAGTGTGAAAATGTTTGGGGCAAATTTCCCCAGACAGGTATTTAAAGATAGCTATTATTACAATTAGCATATTTCATTAAGATTGCTTTGGTGCCAAGATATAGCCCTTACAAATTGGACTTGGTGGAGAAAAAGGGTTTCAAGAGATATTTGTCTAAAGGCTTCTAAGAAAAATGGAAACCAGTAGCTCTTGCCTACACTTATTATATTTCCTGTAAAATCTTTATCCTCTTCACCCCAGGATCTGTCACTTAAGCAAAACATGTTATTAAAAGAATACATTAGTATGGCTTAATATCAAATAGTTTATGTCTGTTATTAGTTCTACATCACTTTGATTGTCATCAGGGGTTTTCAATCAAAAGGTGCAGTCAAAACTAACATTCTTTACTGATGTCTTTTTTCCCCCCACGAGTGTTGAAAAATTGATTGTTCAAAGTTCTAATATGATTAAGAAAATCATTTATCAGAAAACTTAAAGAGGTAATGTAAAAAAGTGGATGGAGAACCTGAGTTAAGTGGGTTTTGCCACTCAAAGACTTTGAAATTGCTTTCCTGTGAGTGACTGGGATGGAACAGAACAGTCAATTACTGACTGTAATTAAGAAGTGGATGCTTTTAAACTGTAGAGAGCAGTAGCAGACTTCTCCAGACTGTCTAGTAACGCAAAAGATCAGTGGAAAGACAGTAGGAAGGAAGTGAACTGTATCTCTCTGACAGTATGTTTTGAAGAAATTGCATTCATATAGTTCTGATCTAGCTTCCCAAAATGAATTAATAAATCAATGATTATGTATGATTAATGCAGTAAAATGTTTGGACAGAGAAACCTTTGAAACTCATTTTTGCTTGTGGTTGTTTTAGCAGTAAAAGATCTCCTTTCCATTATATAAAATGCACCAAAAATGCAAATGCCCTGCTTAGTACTTATATTTTATCACTGTTTGAACTTACTAGCCTGGAAACTGAACTATATTGGCCCTTTCTGAAACCTTCAGGGTGCAGGAAATCTAATTATATATATATTTTTATAATTTCAATAATAGTTTATTTATAACGGCAGGGAAATATATTGTAGATTATGTTTGGGCTAAGATATTTTTCTTTTTGTATGCTAACAAATTGTGATATAACACATACATAATAAAAATATTTTACATGTAGATTTGGAATTAAGGTAGAGGCCAAGGACATTACTAGTTTTCTTGGGTTAGTTAGAAGTGACCTTATATTTTTAGATTACTATTTCTGTGGAAAGATTTTATAAAATAAACATTTGGGATTTTATGGAAGTAAAGAACATTGCAAGGGTGTTTAGATAATTAGGCAAACATCAGCTTAACTGTGTTTTACTAGATACGTAAAAAAGACTAGCCTGGCCAGTGTGGCTGAGCGGTTGAGCATCAACCTATGAACCAGGAGGTCGTGATTCTATTCCCAGTCAGGGTACATGCCCAGATTGCAGGCTTGATCCCCAGTGTGGGGTGTGCAGGAGGCAACCAATCAATGATTCTCATCATTGATGTTCCTATTTCTCTCTTCCTCTCCCTTCCTCTCCGAAATCAATAAAAATATGTTAAAACAAACAAACAAAAATTATTTAAAAAAACAACAACCAGGAAAAAACCCCAGAAGATCATTTGGGGGCTGTTTTGAGCCATCCCAAATCTTACATGCAATTTTACTTTAAACAATAAATAGAGTGATTGGCCCTGGTTTCTGTCAAGTCTAGTGTGGGTAATTAATTTACTCTTATTTTCTAAACTTTGATTTTTCATAATTGCATGTAGTTTGGGTAGTTCCTCTCTCCTTACAGTTGTGAAATGTTAGAATCCATCTCCCTTAAGAATGGTTTCATTTCAGTCCTGAGCGATGTTGCATCTCTATATAGTTTTTCTAAAAATAAATGACAAATGAATATTTATGTATATGTGTAATTGAAGATTACTTTAACACCCTGGGACCATTGTTATTAAATGTTGCCATAAGAATCACTGAAACCTTCAGAGTGAGCTATTCGGGGTAATAATTGTCACTTTAATGATAGAATTATGGAGACAGCCTGAAGCATGATTTGTGATTTCCTGAACCTGTGCCACACTGCAGTGTTCACCTCCTATTTAGAGCAAGTCGGGCTGAGGAGAGGTGACTAGCTCCTGATTCAGGATGTTGAAATGTCAGTCCTCTAAACCTCTGAAGCCTCGCTTGATGGGTGACAGCAGCCGGGAAATGTTCATCTTCCTGTTGAAACAAAAAGTCAATAAAACAAAGGGAAAATCTGCACAGTTCAGATTGATGGCCTAATGCAGAAAGCGTGCCCACAACCACTCTAATCCAATTCTTCTATAAGTAGCCCTGTATGTGTGAGATCAAGAGCATTGCTCTGTTCCTATAGGGTCCCATCCTCTCTCTCACAGTTCTTGGGAGAAAAAGATTCGCTGAAATGAAAAACACATAGTCATATGTTAAATATTGCCAACTATTTAACAGCCCAGAGAGTCTGGAATGGGAATGTTCATTTGATAAATACTCTCGATGAGAGGTTCAAGTATGTAAATAAACTTCTATTTCTAATACACTCCTGTGGTGGGGAAATTGGTCCTTTATTAATTTCTGATAGGTCTTTATGATAGGAAAGTAGAAATATCCAAATGTTATTCATTTGAATGACCTTTTAGAAAAGTCTGCATTTAGTCTCTTTGGTAAGTAGTCTGTTTTAGAGCCCTCTATAAAAGGAAATCAAATGTAGAGATACTATTAGATTTAAAAAAGACAAACAGGAAAGAGCCAAAAGTGCAGAATGAATTCTGACACACCCGGGTACATTTTTCTGAGGCTCTGACTTAAGTGGATACTGTCTGCATTATTCTGAACTTCCTGGCTTGCTTCTCCTTGAGTTGGAGTAATTCAGCTTTAGAACTACTCTGAGTTAATCGTTCTATTATGAAAACAATAATGTATTTGTTATGACATGAAAAAACAGTTTATAGTGAGCAATTCAAAATGATACTAGTCTCCCAGTTCCCAGAAAGACAATTACTGGAATACAAGAAAATATTTCAGTGTATTAAAGTGTGTGTTTTTTGTTTAAAAAAAGGATACACATTTTTTAAACTATAAGAGATCTATTTTATTTGGTTTGCTTACCTGTCAATTTTTTTCTTTTTTCAGATCACAACAGCATCAGGAAATGAGTTCCTTCTACAGTCAGATATTGACTTCATCATATTGGATTGGTTCCACGCTATCAAAAATGCAATTGACAGATTGGTATGTATTTGTTTTGGCTGTTACCTTTATTAATTAAAACATAGTCATTTAAATCTTATCACATAGGCATATAACACACACATTTAAGTGGACCCTATGGATTGAGAGATATTAAATTATTTTAAGTTTAAACAGAGTCCACTAAAAACATTTCAGCAAATAGGATTTGTGGATATAAATTTCACTGAATTTCATTCTTTCAAAAATACAGGGCATTCATATATTTTTAATAAAATAACATGGACATTCATCTCCTAGAGACTGTAAAAAGCACACAAGTGCTTAATAACTACTGAATTTTTACATTTTCAGTTAATGCAGTCTGTGATGCATATTCTTGAAAATAAATATCAATGTATTGAAGCCCATATCATGGTTCTAATACCAGTAAATAATAATCCTGAGTACTGATTTTCGTTGTTCTTTCAATTAAGCTAGATTGTTATTTTCATGAAAATTACATATCTAGAACTTCCTAAATCACACATTCAGAGTATGTTTTTAAAAGAGTCAAATTAGCCCTAGCTGGTTTGGCTCAGTGGATAGAGCGTCAGTATGCAGACTGAAGGGACCCAGGTTCAATTCCAGTCAAGGGCATATGTCTGGGTTGTGGGCTCGACCCCCAATAGGGGGTGTGCATGAGGCAGCCGATCAATGATTCTCTCTCATCATTGATGTTTCTATCTCTCTCTCCTTCTTCCTTCCTCTCTGAAATCAATAAAGACATATATTAAAAAAAATAGTCAAATTATTTAAAATTACTCATTTTATACTAATTCTAGACCAAACATCTAATTTTAGGACACTAATATTTGCAAAATCTTGAGGAAGAAATATTTTTGAGAGCTTTTAATAAGGTATACAAGAGGAAAATACATTTTATGTGTGGTGTTTTTGCTCATGATGCTCTGTCTCCCATTATATGATTTTGATTTCAGACTAAAACTTTAAAACATAAATTAACAAAGTGACTTTTCTCCATCTCTAATATATGTTCTTTTCCAGTCAGGTATGAGTGCTTGTGCCTCATCCCCCCACACACACACATACACATACGTGCACTCATGCACAAGCACACACACACACACACACACTCGCACATAGTTTGTCATTATGGGAGGACTCAGGAGTCACACTGCATGAGTTTGAATCCTGGTTCTGTCATTTACTAGCTGTGTGGCCTTGGACAAATTACTTATCTCTTTTGGCTTCAGTTTCCTTGTCTGGAAAGTAAGAATAATAATAAGAATACCTACCTCATAGGACTGCTGTGATGAATAATTGAGTTAATGCATGTGGAATGCTTAGGGTAATGCACAGGATTTAGTAAGCACCATATGTATAACTGCTATAAATTTGAATGTTAAGCTTGGCTCTAGAGGGCCCCATCCCAAAAATAATTATCTTATTTTAAACATCCTTTTAAATTTAACATCAAAATAGATCCCCAAATTATTTTTTTTTTAATTCTTTCTTCCTTTTAAATTTTTTCTGGCTAATTGTTTGGTGTTTCTAGCCAAAGGATCCAAGCACTCCATCAAGAAACCTGGAATTATTCAAAATCCAGAGATCCTCCAGTACTGAATTGCTAAGTCATTACGATAATGATATAAAAGAACAGAAACCAGAGCACAGAAAATCTTTAAGTAAGTATTTTTCTAACTTGCTCATGTTAACTTAGTCAAAATGCAATGCGTATGAAATATAAATGCATTAAAATGAGATTTGAGCCAAACTCATACTACCCATGACAGATGTGTGGCCATTTCCTGGCCAGGGATCCGTGCACGGGAGGGCAGTCTGGACATTTTGCTCACATCATTGTTGGTAATGCCTTTTCAGAAAATAATTGTTCCAAGGTCCCTGTCTTCACTTACACCAATACCTAAATCTCTGAGAAATAGCCATTGTGTTCAGATTGGTGATTGATTTTAAGAGTGGGAAATGTCAAGCGTCTTCAAACCTTGCTACGCTGACTATTTGATTTCCATCCAGTAAAAGATGTATGAGCGACCAGTCACATTTGGCCTAACTTAAACCAACAAACTGCAACTTTCTACACTTTTAGACCACCAGAAAGATTTAGAAATATGGAATGTGAAGTAGATGTTCTCTAAGGCCACATGTAGTTCTAATATTCTAAAAGGAATGAACTTGGAATTAAAAGGTCCAATCTCACCACTTATATCCTGATCTTGAGTACATCTCTTAATTTTTCCCAACCTGCTTCTTCCTCAATAAAAGGGGTTTTTTGAAAGGTTTCAGGTACACTTATCTCATAGAGTTGATTTGAGTCTCAACCTCCTAAAAGAAGAAGCAGATATCTTTGAAATTAGAGAACACCAATTTCCTAAAGTCTTAAAAACTATAGTACCTTCCCTGGATCATCCACTGGGCCACCTCAATCTTCTGATACACCATTTTTCTGCCATTTCTTCTGACCAAAGTGCAGTGTAGTTATATCCCAACCTTTTGAATTTAGGGAGAATTCAGTAATACAGAAGGGATGCTAACAATATCTAGATATGTACCAGATATGTATGTATGTGTATATATATATATATATATATACATATATATATATATATATATATTTGTGTGCATTAGGGAAGACTATATATATATATATATATGTATTTTTTCAAGGAAGAGGAAAGTTATGTTTATGTAATAACATATCTTCCAAAGCTAAATAAATTAGGGGCCTAAAATATAGAAATAGTATTACAATTTTAAGGAGATTTACCCTTTCAAAATTAAGTCATTATTTTAAGAACTGAACCATAATTTCACCAACTTCTAGATACATATTTAGCTAGCTAACTGGGTTAAGTTAGAGTTTAACATGATCAGTGTTAATGTCCTGAACTTCATATTGCTTTGCAAATATGTTGTGGAGAGTTAGCAATTCAATTTAAAAAGTTTCTTCTATATGATGGTACAGTTTGGAGTTATCTTATTTGAACATTTCCCTTTAAATTCTGGTAACTGTCCCCTTTTACTTCATATGGGATCAGATAAGGTAATGTTTTATAGTTAAAATTAAATTGTGATATATAATGTTAATTATATAACCATTTTGAAGTATATATAAAGGATGTATGAGGAAATTATCAGTAGATTTGGAATCTCAGATATAATTGCTGCTTTAGAGGAAACCTTGACACATTTCTAAAGCTTGGAGCTCTGGAAAAAATGAAGATTTGTAAAATTGTGTTTGAGAAACATTGAGGCAAATGGTTTCTTTGTTCATTAATAGTCACCTGAAATGTTTTAAGATGATACTGGGGGAGGGGGGGAGATTTCCTACAGACAGATTACCATCTACTCCTCTTTAGAATTTATTTTTAATTGAGAGAGACATTTATGTGTTTATTGGCAAGAGACACATATGATTTACTCTATTTGATTCAAAATGTACCTAATTGTATAATGACCTTCAATTCATCATTTCCTTTGCATTCAAAAATCATGATAGCTAGGACATATTGAGCACTTAGTGTTCATCAAGCATTGTCCTAAGTGTTGTCTTATACTGACTTAATTATCTCACTTACCCAATGGAGTGGGTATTATTATTAACCCTACTTTATGGCTGAGGAAGCTGAAGCACAGAGTTAAGACAACTCATACAAAAAACAGGTTATGTAGACAATTTTCAAAGTTAAGCAATCTGATATTAGAGGCTATGATTTTAACCATTACACTATACTGAAGAGAATAAATAAAAGGTAAATTTAGTTCATCAACCTTTGACTTAATGGAAATAGTATATTAAAATGGGATCCATAGAGATCAGTAAACTTAAACAGGGACCAAAAAACACATTAGCAAAAGAATTAAAACCAGATGTTTCCTTTGGACTTTGATTTTACTATTAAAATAAAAGGGTCATTTACTCATTAATGCTAGCCCTAATTTTAGAGAATGCTCCTTTTCTTTGTTTTGGTGGCTATTTATAGTTGTAAGCCTTTGTTAGGGCTAGCATATTTCTTGGAACATAGGGTAAGGTTAATAGCCACCTATTACTTTGAATTAAGTTTATTCAGTATTTATGTATTCATTTTCATTTGAAAGGCATAATGATTGACCCACCCACACAGTATCAAATCAGACTATGCATTTGAAATAGTGATTAGCATGTTTTATATTAGTGTTTTTTGTATATTTTTTTTCAAGTAGGAAATATGCTGTGTGAAACTCCTCTGATCTCAGTCCTAGATTTGAACACCCAAACTTAGGTTTTTAAAACATGCATTCTGTTTTATGTCACCCTTTTGAGATTAAATAATTATGTAGAATTAGAGATTCACACTATCTCCTTCCTTATTAGTAGTCTAAGCACAAACTTCATTGTCAGTTTGCTGCCTTTGGCTTCCTGTGCCCTTGATGTTCCCACGAGTTTTGTTGCCAAGATTGTAGGCAGATAAAGCCAGAATTACTTTCTTAAAGGCATGTGAGCATCATTAGCAGCTAACAGGTGGTCATTTAATTGTCCAGTTTCCCTGTAGAACATGGGAAAAAATAGGCACTCTCAATGCGTGAATTCAGAAAGTTAAGTGCTTAAATATACTTTCCTTTTTAAAATATGATTCTAACCTGCCAACACTATTAAGTACTAATCACATATTTTAAGATATCAGTTGAGTCTAACAGACAAGAAGCCGGAAAATTCAATGTAAGGGCCAAATCACTGTGGGAAATTCAAAACACCAGCATGGGATGAGAGTGGGAGAGCAGCTCTCCGGGATGGCTGTTATGGAAAGTGGAGAGTCGATCAAAGAAAATGCTAACATCTTTTTCCAAGTCTTCCACTGATGGCAAAGAGGAAGTCTCAAATATAAAGCCTGCATCAGATAACCTTGGAGAGTTTTCATAACTTTTCTGGGCTTCACTGCCTAGATCTATAAAAATGGGTTTAATACTGTCCTTGCAGGATCATGTGAGAATTTGAAATTAGATATGTAAATACTTAGCTCACAGCAGGCACTCAATAAGTAAAAGCTCTTATTATTATCCTCTATGTCCCCAAGCAGATGGCACCAAAATAGGGCATGAGCCAAGGGTGGTGCCTGATGGAATATTGGAGCAGGGCATATATACTTGACATCCTCTCCCTGAGTGTAGAGAAAATAGGGGAAAGGAGCCAGGACTGGAAATGGGAGCCATAGCTGCAAAAATCTAAATATGAGCAGCTGGTCTTTCCCCTGGCGACTCCCCAGGTGAAAATGGCAGCCAGGGCATTCTTGGGAGCAGCACACCAGGAAATAGAAGGGAGCCAAGAGATACTCTTGATTCTTTTATACCCAGAAGAGCATGTCATTTAAGAAGTTCCAGTTGATGGAAACGATTCAGCATCTAGCCATTTCACTGTTTCTTTACACATAGCTGTCGTTTATTCATTTTCATTAATAGATATACCTGAAGATGCACAACAATTTTTTATTTCACTCACATGCGCTTTTATTTATTTTTTAAAAACGTGTTTGTATTACTTTATGCTTTAAGGGTACTATACCTCATGTTAATCAATTTCTAAAAAGTAAAGATTACTTTTATATAAAATCAACATTTTAGCATTATAAATAAGCATCCCAAAATGAATATGAGTTAGAAGAATAACATCAAAAGTCAAGAGAACTAAAAGAAAATGAGTTTTCTTTTATCCGCCTTTTTATTACATTATCATAAAAAAACACAAATGTGTTCTGGGTGCAATCCTAAAAGTATTTAGATATGGATTTCCAATTTGATAACCCCTTAGTAACGTGTATAATCAGGGTATATGTACCAGACTGCACGGTAAAGATAGAAATGGAAAAATTTGTTTGAGATATTTATACAATGTAGAAAATAAAAACACTTGTGAACCTTTAATGATATCTTTGTTTAAAAATGTGCCTGCAAAGAAATTATGGTCATGCCAAGTGAAAATAAGTTTGCTTGAGAAAGCAGTTAATTTTTGTACTAGTCTAAATAATGATAATACTGGTCATCCATAACTACAAGTAGACTATGTTCTCAAAATCCAATTGTAAACTGGATGCTCAAACCTCAACATATTTTCAGAAGGAAACCATGTTCAAGCCACAAAAGCACACTTGAACCTTATGCAATCATTTAGAATGCTGTTTCCAGGGAACAGCTCATTCTGAGTTGTTGCCCTGCTGACCCTAGGAGCTAAGCCCTCCCAGTAGCATTGCTTTCCATCTGGTTTTCTTTTCTTTCTCCCCTACCTCTGCGTCAGCTCCACCAAAGCAATTAAGATCCTCAGATTGGCTTTGGCTAGGAGGATCCAGAACCCTAAAAATCTCCAGTGGTGGCAGTGAGGAGATGCTGCATCTCCCAGCCAGAAGAAAAAGTGGATACGGAGAAAAAGGGCTTGGGAGGAAGTGTAGGCAGCATGGGTGGGAATGAATCCTCAGCAAGGGCAGATGTTTCTTATAAGAAATGTGTGTAATGACAGATTCAGTCTGGCATTGTCCTAAATGTTAACATTTGATGAATCTAGGTGGTGTCTATATAAATGGTCATGATGTTATTGTTTTTAGTATGTTTGGAAAAGTTTCACAGATTAAAAACTGGAGTCCACACACATGTGCGCACATGCACACACACACACACACACACACACACACACACACAC